CTCTTCCATCTCCCATCTTGTTAGGTGATTTTAACGATCAACATCTGTGGGGAGGGTCCCACTGTGACTCTCGTGGTGATCAGTTGGAGAGACTTCTCGCTTCTCATTCTCTTCATGTTTTAAATACGGTTGCTTCTACCCATTTTGACCCTTGCACTCAATCTCTCTCTTGCATTGATCTTTCTGTCCGTTCCTCGTCAATTGCACTTGATTAAGCTTGGTCTGTTCTTCCAGATTTACACGAGAGTGATCACTTTCCTATTCTTATCTCTACGTATTCCCCACCGCCTCGTAGCCCTCGTTGGCAATTTACACGAGCGAACTGGGACTTGTACTCTCATTTTACCACCTATTGTGGGGACCCTCTTTCGTCCTCTATTGATGAACTGGTACACCAGTTTTCGACCTTAGTTTTGACTGCGGCGTCACATTCTACTACTCAAACCTCAGGCAGGCATTCTCAGACGTGCGTTCCGTGGTGGTCTCCTGTGTGTGCCCATGCAGTGGGCCGTTATCGATATAATCGGACTTCAGATAGTCTTTTGAATTTTAAGCGGGCAAGGGCAGTTGCCTGGTGCATCATACACGATGGTAAATGCTCTTGTTGGCAAGACTATGTGTGTACCATTACCTCTTCATCCCCTAAGTGTGCAGTTTGGAAGAAGGTGCGGAAGTTTTGTGGCAAGTACTCTCCGGACCCAGCTCCTGCTTTGCGGGTTGCCTCTTGAAGGTGCCACGGAAATCGGGAACTATCTTGTCGTGTCTCCTAAGGGCTTCACCTTTGTCCCTCATTTCTTGCGTCTAAGTCTACCAAGGAGCAATTGCAGTAGGATTTCTCCTCTAAGGGAATGGAGCCGTATAACGTACCTTTCACTCTCCTAGAGCTAGAATCCACAGCTGGACATGATGGTGTTCATGTCAGCATGCTGCAACATCTGCATTCTATGGCCCTTACAGTCCTTTTGCATCTTTTCAATCTTATTTGGGCGTGAGGAGCTCTCCTTCAACAACGGAAATCTGCCATTGTACTACCTTTTCGCAAACCAGGCACTTCGGGGCTTGATACTTCTTACTATCGTCCCATTGCCCTGACCAGTGTAGTTTGCAAGGTGATGGAAAGATTGGTGAATAGACGTCTGATATGGTTCTTGGAGACTTACAATAGTCTTTCCCTCTCCAATATGGCTTTCGTAAGGGCAGTTCTACTTTGGACTCCTTGCTCCACTTAGATACGTATGTGCGAAATGCCTTCGCTAACAAACACACTATCCTAGCAGTCTTTTTTGATCTTGAGAAGGCATATGACACCACTTGGAGGTATAACATCTTAGCCCAGGCCTAGTCCATAAGCCTCCGCGGTAATCTATCAACCTTCCTTGTTGCTTTCTTATCTGACAGACATTTTCGGGCTCGTGTTGACGCCTCGCTTTCTTCAGACATTGTTCAAGCCGAGGGAGTCCCACAAGGTTGTGTCATTAGCACTACCCTTTTTCTCTTAGCTATAAATGACCTACCTTCCGTTCTTCCATCACATATATGGTCGTCACTTTATGCGGATGACTTCGCTATAGATTACTCAGGCGCTGACTGTCACCTTGTAGCAGCCTCCCTTCGGGATGCAATGGACCGAATTTCACATTGGACCACTTCTCATGGCTTTGAATTTTCTAGTACGAAAACCCATTTAATTACCTTCACTAGACGTCCTCTTGTCCCAGATATTCCATTGTATTTACTCGGCTCACGTATTCTAGAATGTGATATAGTCAAGTTTCTTGGCCTTCTCGATCGCCGGTTGACAATGTCACCTCACATTCCTTCTTTGAAGGCAGCCTGCTATGGTCGGCTGAATCACCTTAAAATTCTTGCGCATCGTTCATGGGAGCAGATCGCCGAACTCTCCTCCGTTTGCATTCCACCCTAGTCTTGTCCAAGCTAGATTATGGCGACCAAGTTAATTCTGTGGCTTCTCCTACAACTCTTTCTAAATTAGATTCCCTTCATCATAGGGTCTATGTTTATGCCTTGGTGCCTTTCGTTCATTCCCCGTTGAAAGCCTCTATGCAGAGGCGAATGTTCCTTCCTTAGGTGATCGTCGTGATGCTCATTGTCTTCGTTACTTTGTCTGCGCTCATGATCTTCGTGTTTCTTCTACATATAGGTTAGTCTCAGACGTTAGTAGAAGCCCACTGTTTGTTCAGCACCCCTGCCTACTCCAACCGTCTTCTCTTCATTTTCACTCACTCCGGTCGTCTCTCTAGTTGCCTTCCTTGTATGTTCATTTAGTGTCTGCCTTTTCCTTTTCCCCTTGGGAAGTTCCGACGGATTGTGTCTGTTCTCTCCTACTTCTGTGCGACAAAGCTCTCCTGCCTACGACTGCTTCTCACTCTCTTTTTCTCTATCACTTCCGGTTACATGCTCATGCCATCGCTGTTTATGCAGATGGTTCTAAATTTTCCGACTTTGTTGGGTTGGCAGCAGTATTCCCTGTCGATGTTGTCCGAGGTCATTTGTTAGACTCGGCTAGTATTTTTACAGCCGAATTGTATGCCATCCCAGCCCCTGGACCCATTATGTACCTCCTTAATCTGTAAATACCTTTATAACTTGTCATGATTGTGACCAGATCTACCTGGAGTTCATTACTTTTGTAACTTGCTCAGCTATTAAAACTTTGGGGCCCAGTCCCTTGACCCATTATGTACCTCTGTAATCTTTTGACTACCGCCCACAGGATGGGTGTGGGGTGCATAATAAACCTATTAAGCTAACTCATAGTGCTTCTTCTTATTGTATACATGTCGCCTTCGATGTTTGTGATCATTTCAGATTCCCTCAGTGCTTTACAAGCCATTAAACAATTTGATTCCCCTCATCCATCGTATTCAACTATGGCTGTGCCGTGTGGCTAGCAATAACAAAGACGTCGCTTTCTGTTGGGTCCCTGGACACGCTGATGTGCAGGGCAGTGAATAAGCGGATGCTGCTGCGCAGTTAGCAGTGCATGATCTTCCGGTTTCCTATAGAGGTATTCCGTACAGAGAAGATTTTCCAGTCATCTCGATCTGTCTTCACAGCCGTTGGTAACAACGGTGGTTGGACATGCACCATAACAAACTGCAGTCTATTAAACCGCTTTTAGGTTTGTGGCCATCTTCTTACCACTGTTGCCATACTCAGAATAATATAATAATAATATCTTTATTTACTACAAGTACATGTACAAGGTATACAGTCCTAGCTGACAACAATGACATACTACTACGTAGAAACTCTCTTGTTATGCTCTGCATTTCGGGCAAATTAGGTCAGTGTCCCGGGATGCGACCCACACCAGTCGACTAACACCCAGGTACCCATTTTACTGATGGGGAACATAGACAACAGGTGGAAAGAAACACGTCCAATGTTTCTACTCTGGCTGGGAATCGAACCCAGACCCCTCGCCGTGTGAAGCGAAAGCGAGAAGACTGCTCTCTTCCGGCTCTGCATTGGCCACTCGCCTTACCCATGGGTATCTCATGGAACGGCACCCTATTTCTCTCTGTGAGGTTCGTCAGATCCCTATTTCGGTTCTTCACTTTCTTGTCAATTGCTCGGTTTACCAGCGAGTTAGCAGGATTTACCTCCACCACCGCCGCCGCCACACTACCACTCTTACCTTATCTTCCTTCTTGCAGACGGTCCTGCCTTTGACTTAATCACTTTTTGACTTTTTGTCAGCAACTGCTTTACTGTACAAACTTTGACACACAGTCCTCAGCGCCCCTTCCAGCCTTTTTCTCCTCTCACCTCTGATCTCCTCTCCACCTAGCTGTTTATAGTCTCAGCAACATTTTCTGCCTCACAGCGATGTATGACCCTTGTGAGTTTAGCAGTTTCTTTGATTATAATATTAATAATAATTTAGACCCTGTATGTTTGCAAAGACAAATGTTATATTGATGTAATTTAGTTTTTTTTTTTATTTGCTGGCTCTAATATCTGCTGTTCTGGAGTGGAGGCCAATGACTGTGCCTTTGCTATAGAAGTGTTTTCAGTCTGTGTAAGACTTCTGTCATATCTTGCTTGTCTTTTTTCCTTTCTGACACTAAAAGAAAACCTCTTTCTCTAAAGAGGTTATGGCTCTCCTAGTTTGTTTCCATAGTCTGGCTGGTCTGTGTCTTCTTGTCCCCTTTAAATGACGCGCCTGGCAGTATATGTTGTAGCATTTCCTTTCATGGAATGACGAGTGACACATTTCGGGGTGAAATAAGATACAGGAAAGGGAGTTGCACCCCCCTGTTGTCATGTGGGTGTGACATTTTTGGGGATGGTCAAAGGTGCATGTCCCACCTGTTTTACCAGATATACCATACCTGCAGATATCCACTGCATAAAATTTGCATATATTGGAATTTGGTTTGCTAGGATTTTGTGTTGCTGCATTCGCTGCTGGTGCCTTTTTTTCTGTTTCCCCTCTACGTAATGTGTCATCATTAGGTATGTTTATGAAGGAAAAAAAATCCTTATTAAAGACATTCGGGTGTTGCACATGTGTCTAATTTATCAACTCCTCTCTGATAAATTCTGCAGGCCAGTCAACTGAACTTAATGCTGTAGTGGAGTTATTCATTGATGCCAAATCATGGAGGTAAAATGAAATGCTTAGAAATGTTTGTTAGGATGAAGGAGAGGTAGTGGTGAGTAGTGTTGTCAGTGATTTTCCCCGTTTTGAGGGAAGTTAATATATTTGTCCATATATGGCCAATTATGGTTGTACTCACCTCGGGTAACCTTATTGGTTTAGTTATAGCTGGAATGAGCTCTGAATTATTCAGTATTCAAACTATTAATGAAGTCAGTTACTGGATGGTCATCTGTTAGGCCAGGATTAATTTTGTAGTTGTAGTAGATAATGTTTGAAATTTGGGATATTTTGCAGAGAAGTTAGCGAATATGTATTCACCATAATCATCTCTGCAGAGTAACAGTTAACATTTTAAAAACTGTGTAAGCAGTTCCATGTAACTGGTAAACTTGTACAACGCTTCACTGTAGAGGACTCTGACACATCTAGAATTACTGCTCTGAAGTGGATGCAGGAACAAGCAATGGTGCCTTATCAGCTCTGTAAAGTATTGCTGGATACTATACAACAGAGATGCATGACAATACTTTAATTAAGGTTCTAGTAAGTAACAGCTCCATATTGACCTCAGCATACGAGCCCCAGCCATTCACTTCAGCCAGCTAACTCCACCCATCCACTTTAACTAGAAAACCCAAGAGATCCACTTCATCCAGTGAACCCAAGCCACCTGCTGGAACCTGTAAATCCCATCCATACACGTCGGCCCATGAAAGCCAGTTATTTACTTCATCCATGTCATCCACCTCATCAGAGACCCGGTAGGGACACACCAAGCTTCTCCACTGACATGAAGTCACTTCAGCAATAAAAACACGAATTAGGTTATACTATATGTTTCAATGTGTCCACAACATCTGCATACCTTTTAAAAAGCTTTTAACAATTACTAAGTTTTATTATTTTAGGTGAATTGCGCATTTGCAAGAAAAATATTTGGCTTTTCTTAAGGTGGCATTGAACGTAACCTATTTTTTCCCATAAGTTATTCACTCCTCCATATTTTCTCGTATACCCCCGTTTTCGTGGACTGTATTTTGTGAGAAAAATAATATATATTTTTTTTTTATTATCACACTGGCCGATTCCCACCAAGGCAGGGTGGCCCGAAAAAGAAAACTTTCACCATCATTCACTCCATCACTGTCTTGCCAGAAGGGTGCTTTACACTACAGTTTTTAAACTGCAACATTAACACCCCTCCTTCAGAGTGCAGGCACTGTACTTCCCATCTCCAGGACTCAAGTCCGGCCTGCCGGTTTCCCTGAACCCCTTCATAAATGTTACTTTGCTCACACTCCAACAGCACGTCAAGTATTAAAAACCATTTGTCTCCATTCACTCCTATCAAACACGCTCACGCATGCCTGCTGGTAGTCCAAGCCCCTCGCACACAAAACCTCCTTTACCCCCTCTCTCCAACCTTTCCTACACCGACCCCTACCCCGCCTTCCTTCCACTACAGACTGATACACTCTTGAAGTCATTCTGTTTCGCTCCATTCTCTCTACATGTCCGAACCACCTCAACAACCCTTCCTCAGCCCTCTGGACAACAGTTTTGGTAATCCCGCACCTCCTCCTAACTTCCAAACTACGAATTCTCTGCATTATATTCACACCACACATTGCCCTCAGACATGACATCTCCACTGCCTCCAGCCTTCTCCTCGCTGCAACATTCATCACCCATGCCTCACACCCATATAAGAGCGTTGGTAAAACTATACTCTCATACATTCCCGTCTTGCCTCCAAGGACAAAGTTCTTTGTCTCCACAGACTCTAAGTGCACACTCACTCTTTTTCCCCTCATCAATTCTATGATTCACCTCATCTTTCATAGACTCATCAGCTGACACGTCCACTCCAATATCTGAATACATTCACCTCCTCCATACTCTCTCCCTCCAATCTGATATTCAATCTTTCATCACCTAATCTTTTTGTTATCCTCATAACCTTACTCTTTCCTGTATTCACCTTTAATTTTCTTCTTTTGCACACCCTACCAAATTCATCCACCAATCTCTGCAACTTCTCTTCAGAATCTCCCAAGAGCACAGTGTCATCAGCAAAGAGCAGCTGTGACAACTCCCACTTTGTGTGTGATTCTTTATCTTTTAACTCCACGCCTCTTGCCAAGACCCTCGCATTTACTTCTCTTACAACCCCATCTATAAATATATTAAACAACCACGGTGACATCACACATCCTTGTCTAAGGCCTACTTTTACTGGGAAAAAATTTCCCTCTTTCCTACATACTCTAACTTGAGCCTCACTATCCTCGTAAAAACTCTTCACTGCTTTCAGTAACCTACCTCCTACACCATACACTTGCAACATCTGCCACATTGCCCCAGGCTGATGTAGCTGAAAACTGGTGATTGATGTAGCTGAAAGCAGCTGACACTTCCTCTCTTGGATCTTGTCTTAAAATCATAGCCAATGAAAAGCAGGGGCGCCATGAGTACACTAAGAGACAACACACTAAGTGTCAGGGACCCAAGACTGTTCAATTGCCTCCCAGCACACATATGGAGGATTACAAATAGAGCCCTGGCTGTCTTCAAGGAGCTGGAACGGCACCTAAACTCAGTACCTGACCAGCCGGGCTGTGTTTTGTACGTCGGTTTGCGTGCGGCCAGCAGTAACAGCCTGGTTGATCAGGCTCTGATTCCCCACAAGGCCTGGTCACAGACCGCTTCGCGGGGGCGTTGATCCCTGAAACCCTCTCCAGGTATACTCCAGGCAAGAAAGATTTCGTTTGGTCAGTGACCCTTCCACTAGTCGGTCTCATTCTCACTCTGTGCTCCTTCATGATGACTGACAAAGTGGTCATCCTGTCTGTCTCGCGTCAGCGGTAAAATACACATCTGCTCGTTGTAGTTGATGCAATAGTGAGGAACCAATGTACTGTTACTCCCGACTCCCGCACCGCTCATTTGCTGTATACACAGTTGTTGAATCGCCTTTTGCGATTCACAAAATGTTCATTGTTCATATGACAATCATTATAACTTTGTTTAAATTTAGTGCCATGGTAAAGTAACACTTCGCAGTCATATCAAGAGTATTTCTCTTTTTCCAGGAGTTGATTTGTTCACCTTACTGGTGAAGGCCTGAGAAGAAGCGATACAGTGGAGTGGTTGAGGGAGAGAAAGGGAGGTATGGTTGGGGCTGGTAGTGGAAGGAGAGGATGGAGGGAGAGATGGAGCATTATGTGTGGGAGAAAGATTCAAGGAAGTGTAAGGTGGTGTTGGGTACTGTTGCTGCTCCTTCCCCTCCTGCTGTCCTGGGTAAACAATGACTTGTCTCTCAAAGCCGTCTTATCTTCGCCTCTTTCTACCATGCCCGTTTCACCTGCACCTTCCACTTCAGTCTCACCTCCATCCGTCTCTCCCACGTCCATTTCTCTCACGCTCACCATCCATGTGCACTCACACCTCCAGACTTCTCTACCACAGGGTCAGGCACAACTTCACTTGTTGCACCCTCTGAACGTGCAACTCAAAAACCACTTCACCAGTCACTTCAACAGCCACCCCAGCAACCACACCCCCAGCAACCACACCCCCAGCAACAACACCGCCAGTATCACACCGCCAGTAATCACACCGCCAGTAATCACACCCCAGTAATCACACCCCAGTAATCACACCTCAGCAACAACACCCCAGTAATCACACCCCCAGCAACAACACCCCCAGTAATCACAACCCCAGCAACAACACCCCCAGTAATCACACCCCCAGTAATCACACCCCCAGTAATCACACCCATAATCACACCCCCAGTAATCACACCCCCAGTAATCACACCCCCAGTAATCACACCCCCAGTAATCACACCCCCAGTAATCACACCCCCATTAACCACACCCCCATTAACCACACCCCCATTAACCACACCCCATTAACCACCCCCAGTAACCACATCCCCAGTTACCACGCTCCCAGCAACCACACCCCCAGTAACAACACCCTTAGTAATCACACCCCCACTAACCACATCCCCAGTAACCACATCCCCGGTAACCACACCCCCAGTAACCACACCCCCAGTAACCACAACCCCAGTAACCACACCCCCGGTAACTATACTCCCACAATCCTCACTAATGGAAACCACACCTTCAGCTTCAACAACAACAACGACACCACTACCAACGTCACCATGGATGAATACATCAATGGTAAGAGAGAGACAGCAGTATATTTAACAGAACGACTGTTAGTAAGTTGGATTCGTTCGCAAGATCATTAACTTACTCGACTGTCATCTTACCTACGCATTCCAGACTGTATGTGACTGATACCCAAAAGTTAGTGCTAGAGACAGTCTGTTAAAACTGTGATGGAGACTCGAGGTAAAATCTTGTATTTTCTTCTTAAAGTTAACTTGGTGTTTTCTTCTCATATCTCTTTTTTTTCTTTTTAATAATGAAACATGATTTTTCGATACTAATGAATTAAAGAGAATACAACGCATTCATAAATATTTTTGTCACTTTTAAATATAAAATACCTCAATCATCTCCTCAAACTCAGTTCGTGAGTCCAAGATACAACAATCAACGAACAAATAACTTGCACTAAGGAGACTGAAACCTGAGTCAACGTTTCAGTATTGTGACTTTTTATTCTTTATACAACAGACGTTATCTTTCAAGATCACATATCTGAGAAAAAAAACTTGATTACTCCGGAAGCCTTGGTATTATTAGTGATTTTGATTTGTCAGTTCTTAAAGGAATTTTTAGTGAATATTTTTCCCATAAGCCTTAAGTCCACGAAGGTGTGAGAGTGAAGCTGTAGTGATGAGCCCGTAACTCTATATTTTATAGACATCTGGAAGTGCTGGAAGCTAGAGGCTGCACCTCCTGCGGTGTTGGAGATTTAAAAATAGGTTTCATTTATTGTGAGTATATACATCTAGTAGTTAGGGCTTCTTTTGTTGTAAACGGTATACTGGGGAAGGGCTCCACTTGTTATTATTTATATCTTCATGTCTTGTAATCATTTCATCTGATCTAAGGCATACGATACAATGGAAGCCAGACAGACTTGAGATGATCTACCGGAAATGTATGTGTGTTCGGCGAGGATATGGGTAGCAAGGTGAAGGAATACTCGAATATAAATGATTTGAGGATCAAAGTTAGCGTCCGGGATGGAATTAGGGAGAACCAATAGAAAATATCCAACAAGAGAAGTTGGAGTTGTGTTCATACATGACGAAATTTCGTGGTGAAATATTCTCCTCTCTTGGGCTGGGCAGAGACTAGAGAGAATCTGTCTGCAATGGAAATCCTGACTCAAGGCTATCTACTACTACTACTACTACTGCGGAAGCTGTTCTGGAATTAGTTTTTGACAAAAGACCTGTTAAAATTATCCCGGAACTGGCCATGAAGCAAGACCTGTTAATGCTGCAATTGAAAGTTTGGCAGAAAATCTGTTATTGCCGCTCAGGAAACGTTTACACAAGACGACCGATTGTTGCTATAGATCGTTGGAACTAATACCTGCTAGTGCGTTGATACAAGAAATGCAAGAGCTACTGTGAAAGTCTTGGCACATGGTCTACTAGTAGGCCCATTAGAGCTACTAGCGTTCGTATAGCTGGAGGTTACCAGGGGTTGCTTCCATGGTTACCAGTGCTGCCGTGGAAACCTGATCCAGTGCTTCCTAATGTTGTCTTGAAAGTCTTGCAACAAAACTCTCTAATACAGCTTTGGAAGCTGTATTAGACTCTTTCACCATACTTTCTTCATGGCCTTCAGCCGTTATATATTTCGAAAAGTGCTTCTTTGGTCTCCTATCTGTTTTTGATCTTAGCCCAGAGTTTTGAAGCGAGTCTTCCAGATCTTGAGGGTTACGTCCGGACATAATAAAGTATCAACTATTATAATTAAAGCGCCTCCTGATATTTTGTGCTCAGTCTCTGCTTCTCAACTACACGGTCATCGAATATTAGTGAGTTCAGTCAGTCGTCTGTATTATGTAAGACCGTGTGAATCCTTTACCCTTTGTTAGCCCAACATCTTGGCATACTCCTCGGTGCCCCCAGAGTCCAGCTCATGGTTATTGTATCCATAGTTTAACATCTTCATTGTGCACCCCATACCCATCATGTGGGAGGTAGTCAAAGGATTACAGAGGTACATAATGGGTTCAGGGTGCTTGGTGAGGTGTCAGAGTGGGCACCTGTAACGAGCGGAGTTCCACAGGGATCAGTCTTAGGACCGGTGCTGTTTCTAATATTTGTGAACGACATGACGGAAGAAATAGAGTCCGACGTGTCCCTGTTTGCAGATGTGAAGTTGATGAAAGGAATTCAGTCGGTTGAGGACCAGGCAGAATTACAAAGGGATCTCGAGAGGCTGCAGGCCTGGTCCAGCAACTAGCTTCTGAAGTTTAACCCTACCAAATGCAAAGTCATGAAGATCGGGGAAGGGAAAAAAAGACCGCAGACGGAATATACTCTAGGGGGCCAGAGACTTCAAATCTCAGTCAAGGAAAAAGATCCTGGGGTGAGTATAACACCAGGCACATCTCTTGAGGCGCACATCAACCAAATAACGGCTGCAGCATATGGGTGCCTAGCAAACCTAAGAACAGCATTCCGATATCTTAATAAGGATTCGTTCAGGACCCTGTACACTGTGTACGTTAGGCCCATTTTGGAGTATGCAGCACCAGTTTGGAACCCACACCTAGCAAGCATGTAAGGAAGCTAGAGAAAGTGCGAAGATTAGCAACGAAACTAGTCCCAGAGCTAAGGGGTATGTCCTAAGAGGAAAGATTAAGGGAGATCGACCTGACAACACTGGAGGACAGGAGAGATAGGGGGGGATATAATAACGACTTGTAAAATACTGAGAGGAATCGACAAGGTGGACAGAGATGGGACACAACAATAAGGGGTCACAGTTGGAAGCGGAAGATTCACATGAATCACGGAGTATTTCTTCAGTCAGAGAGTTGTCAGGAAGTGGAATAGTCTGGGAAGTGATGTAGGGGAGGCAGAATCCATACATAGTTTTAAGAAGAGTTATGATAAAGCTCATGGAGCGGGAAGTGTGACCCAGTAGCGGCCATTGAAGAGGCGGGGCCAGGAGCTATGAATCGACTCCTGCAGCTACAACTAGGTGAGTACACACACACACACACACACACAGGTCTATGGTGCATCCAACGAAATAAGCAGACACTTCGATGTCACTACCGCCAGGCTCCGACTGGGTTACAAGTATCTTCAGGAGGTTAAATCACCACCACTAGATGTTGACCAAACGAAATGTAAACTTTGCCTGATAGACAATTGTCACACCCTGCGTTATGTACATTATGTACACAGTTCCACACAAGAGATTAGTGCAAAAACTGGAGGACCAGTCAGAGATAACAGGAAAGGCACTACAATGGATCAGGGAATACTTGTCAGGAAGACAGCAGCGAGTCATGGTACGTGGCGAGGTGTCAGAGTGGGCACCTGTGACCAGCGGGGTCCCACAGGGGTCAGTCCTAGGACCAGTGCTGTTTCTGGTATTTGTGAACGACATGACGGAAGGAATAGACTCCGAGGTGTCCCTGTTTGCAGATAACGTGAAGTTGATGAGAAGAATTCATTCGATCGAAGACCAGGCAGAACTACAAAGGGATCTGGACAGGCTGCAGACCTGGTCTAGCAATTGGCTCCTGGAGTTCAATCCCACCAAGTTGCAAAGTCATGAAGATTGGGGAAGGGCAAAGAAGACCGCAGACGGAGTACAGCCTAGGGGGCCAGAGACTACAAACCTCACTCAACGAAAAAGATCTTGGGGTGAGTATAACACCAGGCACATCTTCTGAAGCGCACAACCAAATAACTGCTGCAGCATATGGGCGCCTAGCAAACCTCAGAACAGCATTCCGACATCTTAATAAGGAATCGTTCAGGACCCTGTACGCCGTGTACGTTAGGCCCATATTGGAGTATGCGGCACCAGTTTCGAACCCACACCTAGCCAAGCACATAAAGAAACTAGAGAAAGTGTAAAGGTTTGCAATAAGACTAGTCCCAGAGCTAAGAGGTATGTCCTACGAGGAGAGGTTAAGGAAAATCAACCTGACGACACTGGAGGACAGGAGAGATAGGGGGGACATGATAACGACATACAAAATACTGAAAGGAATTGGCAAGGTGAACAAAGACAGGATGTTCCAGAGATTGGACACAGTAACAAGGGGACACAGTTGGAAGTTGAAGACACAGATGAATCACAGGGATGTTAGGAAGTATTTCTTCAGCCACATAGTAGTCAGGAAGTGGAATAGTTTGGGAAGCGATGTAGTGGAGGCAGGATCCATACATAGCTTTAAGCAGAGGTATGATAAAGCTCACGGTTCAGGGAGAGTGACCTAGTAGCGACCAGTGAAGAGGCGGGGCCTGGAGCTTGGTCTCGACCCCTGCAACCTCAACTAGGTGAGTAACTAAGTGAGTACACACACGTGGTAATGCTTTATTTACAGTGGATAAAATCCTTTGACATATCCTGAACATTTCTGAGTGAGTTGTCTCCGAATTCATTAATTTTATCGCATTACAGTACATAATGACGCAGGGTGTGACAATTGTCCATCAGGCAAAGTTTATATTTCGTTTGGTCAACATCTAGTGGTGGTGATTTAACCTCCTGAAGATACTTGTAACCCAGTCGGAGCCTGGCGGTAGTGACATCGAAGAGTCTGCTTATTTCGTTGGATGCACCATAGACCTGTGGCTCCTCTTGTATGATAAGAGGGACTAACTGGTGTTAATCTCTGGTAAAAGGGGGGTATCCTTCAGCCCTCTGAGGGACTTAGCCCTCCCTGGAGGGGCTTGTGGATTAGTCCTTCCTCGCACAACTTTTATGAGAGACCCACTTATGTACCACGTCTCTCTCTCCTTGCTAGAATTTCTGATCAGCTACACAGTATTATTGTTCTCAATCTCCTAACTGACAGCCAAAGATTGTATTATATTCCCTCTTTGAAGGCATAAAACTTAGCCAGGTCATCATTTCTATTATGCATCTGAAGACCAATTGTATCCTCGAAGCAAGGCCCGTTTGTTATCAACAGATAACTTGCAAGGCCCGTTTGTTATCAACAGATAACTTGCAAGGCCCGTTTGTTATCAACAGTTAGATAACTTGCAAGGCCCGTTTGT